TACTGATGAGCCTCGAGAGTGGTCTACTATATACCCTAACCTGTATAGGGGGTAGAGGCGATACAGCCTGTATAGTATTCTAACTGTATACACTGTACACTTATTAAGGAAATACAGCAACAGTATGTATGAATGTCTGATATGGATAGTGTATTAGTGAGGAAATTGAGGATTTTCTAGATTTTTTAAACGGAGTTACGTTCTTTTATTATTTTAGACTTTTTTGTATTTTTTAAAGTTTTTGGCTTTAAACTTGAGATGTACTCGAACTGATGCGAAAGCTAGAACACAATCTTGTAAAACTTGCTTTGCATTACCAAAAGATACTTTGAAACCGATCTAAATATGAAAAGTTGTGTCTTTTTGCGAGTGACAGTTGAAAGGACGGAACTTAAGAGACAACCTGATACAACCACTGGTTTTGAAAAAATATCAAAACTAGCACAAAAACTCGAGAAGTGACAGTTTGATATTTTTGACCCATTTATTTTTAAAAGCACCCACCGCAAGTGATAATATCTAATGGTTTGAAGAATACATACGTAAGCGAACTTGGATCTGTGGAAATCCTGTATATGGAAATCCGAGTTTTCCGATAGGTAAGACTGACCATCGTGTTTAGCTTACAAGGAAAGCTGTCTAGTCGAAGTGGCGTTTTTGAATGAGACTCGTACCGCTTTGAAGAGCATTGTACGATGGCTTCAAATCTACTTTTAATATCTGCCAAGCGCCTCTGGAGGCCAAGTTATGACCGTTTTTTGGAAAATAAAAATAAATGCAGAACTAAAGGCAGTGGCTCAGCAAATCCTCGACCTGTGGTTTTTATTGCTTACTTGGTGTAAATCGAAGCGCTGATTCCGAAAATCCATCCTAAAAAGTGCGAAAATGGCAAAAAGCAGCATTTTTCAAGGCCCCTTATTCTGAATTTGGACAAGTGGAACGCTCTGAGCCTGCTTAGAGAAGTTTACCTTGTATGTTTATAGCAATGCGGCATGCCCTCTGCGAATATCGCAAGGATTATCGGAGATCGCAAGCTCGTCCGAGCGCGTGTAAGAATGGCTTCCGCGCAAGGGTTCAAGGGCAATTTTCACACTTGCTTTTCGCAAGGTAAAATCGATTGTCACAGCCTTTTCAGCGCTCAGATAAAGCAATAGATAATGAAGGTAGGTTAGCAGATAATGAAGGCAGGTTTGGACTCACTGTGCAATACTCTTCAAGGCAGTATAGATCTCATCTGAAAGGGCCACTCCGACTAAACAGGTTTCCCTTGTTAGTTTAATTTGCTCCATCAAAAGATATAGTCGTCCTCAGCCTACTAGTTTCTTGGTAGATGAATTCGAATTTGAATTGGGGCAGGCCAGTTGCGCTAGGCCAGTTCCTCAGCTCTTAGTTCAGTCTTATGCACGTCTCCATGTTTTTCTTCGTTTTATCTGTCATTGTTCTAACCTTGTTCGTGTTAGAGTTGACGACTTTGTTCTTGTTCTTTCGTGCTGCTTTGCTCTTTTTTTGATTCTGAGTTTAGGTAAACTTGGCGAAACGATAAAGATCGGGATTTTGCTCGTACGTTCTTTTGTGACATGCGCTTAAGTGTTGGTTTAGTGAAATCACATAATATACTACACAGTTACATTGTTCCTCTAAGCTTACACGGACACCGAGTTGATAAAGAAAAGTATAGGAGGAGCATGTTAAACAGCTCAACAACAATGAAAACGTCAACTCTGATCATGAACTTTAGTAAAACCCAAAGAACAGCAATTAACGACTAAAAAGCAGAAATGAACATGCGTAAAACTGAGAGTTGAGGGTGCGGCGCTTTACTGAGTCGGTCTGTCCAAGCTCATTCGAATTCATCCACCAGTGACTAAGGGGTTAAGGGCGACAATACCCCAGTCACTTTTTTTGTGATTACCCTGTTGCGATGACACAAGATTTGACACTATTTTTTGGACAATCTGATAATTTGGAAGCCAACGTATGTGCAAATTTGCAAACCAGTTTTTTGCCTTTTGGAGCTTATCTTCTCACTCAATAGTGCCACAAGCCACAAAGGCGAGTTCTAGAATTTATGATTTTTGCACTTAAAAAATGAAAACTCGAACAAGTCCCAAGAAAAAGATGCGTAATTAACTCATAATTTTTCACACTCGAAACATTTTCACTGCTGATAGAGATTTAGAAACGGTTTCGAAGCTTTGAACTACTCTTTCTTTCCGAATCAAATTCTACCATCTATTTAAAGCATTGCTATTGTTAGCGGGAGCGGGATATTGTGATCGTATTGCATGTACTCAGACAGTCGACGGCATATCTCCGGAGCAGAAATGGCAGAGCCGCGGGGTTTCCCCAGCGGGGTTTTGCCACTTCGCGCTCCAAAGCCCTGCCATTTCACGCATTTTTGTGCTCCGGGGCTCTCCCAAAAGTGGCGCACCTCCGGAGCAGCGATTTGCGCGTTGCGGAGAGGGGTCCCATTCGTCCTGTTTGTGACGTCACCGTGACGTCACGGTGAATGAATGGGACCCCTCTCCGCGACGCGCAAATCTCTGCTCCGGAGGTGCGATACTTTTGGGAGAGCCCCGGAGCCAGAGGTGCGATAGTCGGAGCCGATTCTCCGCCTACCTTCACTTTTGAGCTGGTACGGGGTGACCACCTTCACTTTTCGGTTTGAAAAATTTTTTTTGCTGAAGCTCAAAAGAAGGAAAATAAGCAAAAGGGATGTAAAAGAAAGTATTAAGAGCATATATCTATGTAGTAGGTCGATCCAGGCAGTAACCGCCGAGAACCAGAATTTCGAATGATAAAATAATGAAAAATCGTGAAAAATCATTCCACTGTTACAAATCAGCTGGCTGAAGACCTCCGCAGTTGCGACTTCATAGGTTTTGAAGGGTAAGTGTTGTTCTATCAGACAGCGAAAGAATCAGTTTGATTTGAGGAGTGGCCGCCGAGAACGAGAATTCTGAAAACCCTTAAAAATCTCCTCAATTTTAGGTTGTTCAATGACAACTGACATTTAAACTCTTATAAATCCTGACTTTGAAGGTGTGTGATGTTGCGACTTCATAGGTTTTGTAAAGTGAGGTTTGCCTTATTAGAACATATCTTAGCTGTACCGATCCATTGAAACGTCGCCGAGATCCAGGCTCCTAAAGAAGCGGGTAAAAAACCGTTTTTCAGCTCATAACTTCTTCAGAATTGCATGAATCATGTTGCGACTTCATAGGTTGGATTCTCCTCATCAAGAGCTTTCAGATGATATATAATATGTGGGGGGTTCACGCCTTCCACGGCATATGCCCGGGGGTGGAGTACTCCTCTTCACTAATTCTCCACCCCGCCCATTTCAATGTATTGGCGGGAGGCCGCCAGTGGAGAATTAGTGAAGAGAGGTACTCCACCCCCGGGCATATGCCGTGGAAGGCGTGAACCCCCCACATATTATATATCATCTGAAAGCTCTTGATGAGGAGAATCCAACCTATGAAGTCGCAACATGATTCATGCAATTCTGAAGAAGTTATGAGCTGAAAAACGGTTTTTTACCCGCTTCTTTAGGAGCCTGGATCTCGGCGACGTTTCAATGGATCGGTACAGCTAAGATATGTTCTGATAGAGCAAACCTCACCCTACAAAACCTATGAAGTCGCAACATCACACACCTTCAAAGTCCGGATTTGTGAGAGTTTAAATGTCAGTTGTCATCAAACAGCCCGAAATTGAGCAGATTTTTAAGGTTTTTCAAAATTCTCGTTCTCGGCGGCCACTCCTCAAATCAAACTGATTTCTTCACTGTCTGGTAGAACAACACTTACCCTTCAAAACCTATGAAGTCGCAACATTGCATATTTTCACATTCCAGATTTATAGGAGTTTAAACGTCAGCTGTCACTAAGCAACCTAAAATCGCTTAATTTTTTAAAATTCTCGCTCTCGGCGAGTACTGCTCAGATCGATCTAATTCTTTCACTGACTGGTAGAACAACACTAGCCCTTCAAAACCTATGAAGTAGCAATTGCTGACATCTTCGACCACCAGATTTATAACAGTGGAAATTTCGCATGATTTTTCGCTATTTTATTATTTGAAATTCTGGTTCTCGGTGGCTACTGCCTGGATCGACCTACTTTATTCGCAGTACGTTATAACAAAATCTACTTAATGAAATACGTAAAGTCTAACTGGGATTTACTTACAAATAGACCATTTGAATAACATATTTATTTCTTTTTATTTTATTTTTATGCCGCTATACTCATCGTATTTGTGGCCCTAAAGAGGGCCGTTAGGTTCACACTTGTTGGCCCTCAAGGAGACCGTTGGGTCAGAGTTCTTCAATTATCCGAAGTCCCCCCCCCCCCCCCCCGGTCGACGTTTTTGAGAGGTGAGTGTCCGGCACTACCACCTTCACTTTTGGCCGGCCAGTGGTAGCTGGAACCACCTTCACTTTTGAGGGGCCCGGCTCCACCTATCGCACCTCTGCCCGGAGCACAAAAATGCGTGAAATGGCAGGGCTCCGGAGCGCGAAGTGGCAGAATTGCGCCATATGCCCGCCGGAGGTATGCCTTCGACTGTCTGAGTAGATGTTTTCAAAGTTCTCAGAGCGCTGCTTATAAAACATAAAAAACAATTTGTTAACGGAAATGCAGTGCATTACAATTTTCTCAATTTTTTTCTAAGCAATACTTTGCAGTGGTTTACAATGCAGGTGAAGGCTCGATTTGGGCGATTTGATGTTATGAAAGCACTTGATATGTACATCTTGTAGAGAGTGGAGCCTTGTCAAATCACGTTCTCTGTACTAAAAAAAGGCACACAGTTGCCGAAAATATTAACGTTACACTTAATTGAAGCCTCAAACTTGAAGCAAATGAACTTCGACATGATCTTACTATAATACAATTCTCTAACGACTCAAATTCCAAGAAAAATGCAATACTCTCCAAAACATATTGAATTTTGAACCCATAACAATGCGGGATGAATTTCATATTTTCTGCAGGTACTCTGATCTGTGTAATGGGCAAAGGGACTGTCCGAACGGAGAAGATGAATCTGCTGTGCACTGCTACTTTCATGAATTAGTAAGTAGTAATTATTTTATCTCATGAGCTTTTTTCAATTTTGGCCTTACAAAGCAATAACTCACACATTTCTCAATTTTGGTGATGATGCAGGATACCGTTCGATAAAGCAAAGCAAGCCCTATAAGATGGCATGTAACTGTTTGCACCAGCTTTAGCACATCACCATTTAGAAGCCGAAATCTGAGAACTTCTGGATGCCCAAATAATTGCAATTTCTTTATAACCTTGTCCAAAGAAAACTTACCAGGTCCCAAACTCATTCACGCATATATACAGAGTGTCCCAAAAAGATGTGCACACTTTTTGATCATTAACAACTCTCTTGCTTTCATGTCTTTTGCCGAGTCTGAGGTACCATTCTGTAGAGCGAGGGTAAACTTAGATTTACAGTATTGAGCGAAACTCCAATCTCTTTTCGCTGCTGTAGGATTACGGTATGAACTTTAAGCATACAGCATCACTGTGGAATAAGCCTTTTGATGAAACAAATTCAAAATAATCTAAAAAGTTGTGTAGCAAGGTTTCCAGGCGTGCTGATTTCACTACATAACTTTTAGTCAGTTTTTAGAACTTTCTTGATGGCGTATTCACATTTCTGCTGAACATTGCAAAATCAGTTCTTACCCTAATTCTGAAATAACTCATGAAAGAAACAATTTACTGACGTGCAGTTCTCATATTTTGAATCAGCGACTACGATTAACCCAGTTCAAGAGTTTCTGGCTTATTTGGTTTTTTTCTGAGGCAAAATACAGCTTTCCATTGCTTAAAAGCCTTCTCGAAATTTCTACCGTAATCCTACGGTAATGAAAAGCGGCTGATAAGTCCCTCCACACTGTAAATCTAAGTTTATCCTCGCTCTACAGAATGGTACCTCAAGCTCGACAAAAAACATGAAAGGAGAGTTATTAACAATTAAACAGTGTGCACATCTTTTTCGGACACCTTGTATATATTATATATATTAGGTTGGTCCGAAAGTTCTTGCGCATTATTTTCAAAAAATCATAACTTCCTTGCCACTCGATGGATTTCATTAAAATTATATCTATTTGAAAGAGGAATCCATGCTCTTTAAACCACTACCTTCGCCATGAGTTGGTTTGAGAATCTTCGAAAGTTACAAGCAATTAAAGGAAATCAGTTGAGAGTGCCTTTTTTCGAGCTCGGTCACGAAAAATTCTGAAGGTATTTTTATCTGATATAGAAAATTATGCTCATTACAATGGTACTTTTTCCATGAGTCAAAACGAAAAAGATCTTGACCAAGACCTTTTAGAAAGGTTTGTTCCATCGAATGTGGCAACCGTTTGAAAATAGCGAAATTACTTTTGGGACGACCTAATATATATAAAGGGTGTCCCAAAAAAAGGTGCCCACTGTCTGATTGTAAATAACTCTCTTGTAACAAAGAGTTTCGAGAAGCTTTGGGTACCGTTTTGTAGAGCGAGGTTGAACTTAGATTTACAGTATGGAGCAAATCATCTATCGCTCTTAATCACTGTAGGATTACGGTACGAACTTCGACAAAGATTTTAGGCTCTCGGAGGCTATATTTTGCCTTGAAACAAGTCCAAACAAGCCAAAAACTCTCATACTACGGTAATGGGAGACGCTGATTTCGAATTTAAAATTCCCATTTTACTGTGTTGCTTCTTTCCTAAGTTATCCTCGGTAAATCGTAATAATCAATTCCCAGCATTTGTCAGAAATGTAAGTACACCGTCAAAAAGCTGAAAACACTCGTAAAAAGTTGTTAGGTGAAACCAACATGCGCGAAAATCCAAGTACACGATTTTTCAGATTTTTTGAAAAAAATTCTGTTGATTGGTATACTTCACAATGGTTCCATATGCTAGAAGTTCTTCCGTAAACAGTAATGAAGAGCGATGGATGATTCCATGCTGTAAATTTAAGTTTAACCTCGCTCTACAAAATGGCACCTAAAAGCTTCGAAACACTTCATTACAAGAGAGTTATTCACAATCAAACAGTAAACACATTTTTTTGGGACCCCCTGTATATTAGGTCGTTCCGAAAGTTCTTTCCGTTTTTTCAACCTATCATAAAAACACGTGGAATGAGGATAGAAAAACGCTTCAATGCTCTCCGATGCGTTTTTTCTTTCTCTTTTCAACAGTCATATTGCTATGTCGCTAGCTCTTGTGGTCAGTGAGATAATGGCCGAAATTTCGAATTTATGGTTATTACCATGTCCAAATTTGGCAATTTTTCGCAGTTTTCTTCTTGACTTTTGAAGAAGCTTCAATAGCGATTGGATAGAGTAAACAAAGTGCAATTTAATCGTATTTTTTGGCATCTAATGCTAGCCCTAAAATTTTTTTTTAGAATTATTTTTCTGATGCTATCAAATTCCACTTTTGGTGATGCCAAGAACCATAAAACATAAAACGGCTCACAACTAAAATGTCATTCGATGCAGCTTTTCCTCCTCTTTCTGTTAAGTATTTTTCTTCCCAATTTGTGTTTTGGCGATAAAATTTCCATAACTCTTAATTTTGAACCCGCCTAGGGTGTGCACGTATAATGCTAAATCTTATATTTCGAAGCGGTAAACACTCAGTCACTTTGTAAAAAATAGTGAACAATCATAAACGACTTTTGATAGTGTCAAAATCCGAAGATTTGCTGATGTTCGGAGCGTTTATGTGTTTTGTGACTTCGAAAAAGTGAAGACTTCTGGAAAAGGTGTCTCAAAATATACTGAGAAGCCAGTTGAGATTGCCAAAAAATTCCATTAAATTGAACTTTGTTTACTCTATCCGAATGCTATCGAAGCTTCTCCAAATGTCAAAAAAGAAAATTGTGAAAAATTGTCAAATTTGGACATGGTAAAAACCATGGGTTCGAAATTTCGGCCATTATCTCACTGACCACAAGAGCTAATGACACAGAGATAAACTGTTGAAAAGAGGAAGAAAAATTGCGTCGGATAGCTCTTGAAGCGTTTCCTTACCTTCATTCCATGTGTTTTTATGATAAGTTGAAAAAACGGAAAGAACTTTCGGAACGACCTAATATATATATATCAGTGGCGTACCCAGGATTTCGGCTCAAGGGGAAGGGGACAAAAATTTTTTTCTAATGAAGGTGCGTGGCGTTAGTCACGCACTCACGCCCCCAAAAAAATTTTTTTACAAGGCTAATTTGTATTTTTAAAAATTTTTAAAAATTATTTTGATTATTTACAAGTAAAGACAAGTCCTAGTGTAAACAACTATTCATTCTTGAAGCATCTCCATGTAAGATCGCTAATTTTGAGAAAGAAAACTTTTTTGCCAAGGAATAAATATGAATTCGAACAGTTTATTCAATTTATTTTGGCTTGGTAATTGTTATAAAGATAATAGTCATTTTGGGCTACATTTCCATGCAAAAATCTTTTCAGATATTTAGGTAAAACCTTGTCAAATCGACTCTTTACCTGATCACTACTTTTTGGCGCTGTTTTCACGGAAAAGCAAACTTTTCGAGCACTTTTTGAGCTAGAATTCTTGGAGCGCAAATTTGCTTGTCAGGCAAATCAGGACTTTGCAAAAAGTTGAATTTGTGACCTGATAGCTTGGCTGCAGCTGCCTCTATAAATTTCGTGACAGACAGACAAACACACACACACGCACAAAAAGACAGACGTTTAGCGCTTTATTATAAGTCATGATATATATATATTCCAAACAACATATGTTTGTTTCTGTGTTAGAAACCGAGAAAACTAAAATTTTCATGCTTCCAAAAAGCGATGCTCCGCTGTTTTCACACAGGTGAATGTATACTAAAGGCCTTCAGCAAAACATCGGAAATTTCAGCTTCCCGGAAGCGCTTGTTCTTGAGAAGTATCGAACCTAGCTTAATTTGCTTAGGTATTACATAAGGAAATCAATATTTCTTGGGAACTAGAGGTTACAGAAAGCTGGAAATATGTGACTGTACTTCTATAAGCCTGTAGTGTACATTACCTGTGTAAAACCAACGTAGCATCGCTTTCTGGAAGCTTGGAAATTTTGTTTTCTTATTTTCTAGCACAGAAACAAACACAGCAACGGAACATATGAATGTGTTCTGTGGATTGTATATGCGAGAGCGTATTTTGGATTTGGTAAGTTTTCTTCGGGCAAAGTTTTGGGCATCCAGAAGCTCTCAGATTTCGGCTTCTGACTCGTGATGATCTGAAGCTGGTGCAATCAATTACACTCCATTTTATAGAGCTTGCTTTACTCTATCGAAAGGTACCCTGCATTTTAATCAGAATTGAGGAATGTGTGAGTTACTGCTTCAGAAAATCAAAATTGAAAAAACTTATGAGACCACCCAATAGTTAGTTATTAAGTGTTCATAGAAAAAAGTTTTGTGGACATAATTTATATGCAACAACGAAAAGAGCTCCTGCAGAAGTTTTTAACCTGTCTTCATAGCAAAACCTTACAAGCATCAAGGTTATTTCTCAATTTAGCATCGAGCAGAACTTGACGCCATTCGAGAAAAGACGCATCGAATGATTGTCGAATTCAACCGAAGAACGAAACCCTTATAGAAGATAGAAAAATGCCGGTGTTTCTGTGTCCAATATTAGAATCCTTAGAAATGAACAAGCTCTCAAAGCCGCATATTTGATTGTTTTATTGTCCTTGTAAGCATAGTCGTTCTTCGAATTGTGCTGGATTTATATGATGCTCCCATGCAACTCTTCATCTAACAATAAGGTATTGATGTAGGAATTAATTTGAAAAGCATGCCTGCCGTACATAGTGCATGTATTAGGTTGGCACATAAGTTTTGCAACTTCTTCTTATAACTCGTGTGTTTTGCGATGTGGCGCTTCCATTTTCTGGTATTATAATGAGTATCGTGTTAACAGCGAAAGCAACTATTCCTGCCGTATTCCAACATCACGTTCGAGAGTTACGGTAAGGCAATTTTTGAATGGGAAAGAAAAAGGAATTGGCACAGATTAGAGTGAAACTTGGTCTAAGGGGTTATTCGATATCCTGATTACGAAAGTGATAATCATTTTGCTTGAAAAAATTATTTTGCTACAAAAAAGTTGAATTACAAAAAATCACTAGGCTAATTTTTGACTCTGACAACAACTGAATATGATATTCGTATTCAGCATGTCAAGTTATCCCATCGTGCAAAGTTTCGCCAATATTCGACTATTCTGACTCTCTGGCATTGATGAATTATCCAAGCTACTTTGACGCATTTGACTTGTTTGAGTTTATGAAATCGCCAGATTTCCATTTAACAATGAATTACTATTCTTTTTTCGCTGGGTTCAGTAGCTACCCTCTGAGAATACTTTGCTCACAGTTCCGGTTGAATTTGGTTAACTTACTTGCGTAGGTCTTCATCTTTGCTAAAAAAACCCATAAAACTTCAATTTTGACTGCTTTTAGGAGAATACGCAAATCTTTTCCATTTTGCCACAAAAAATAAAACGGTTTGCGCAGATTTATAGCGCACTTCCGAGTCTATAAAATGTCAAAATTTGAATGCGCCTAATTCATAGAGAAAGAAGTTATGGACAAGGTTGCAAAACTTATGTGCCAACCTATTAACTCGTAACCTTTCGTCAGTCCCAGAATCCCACAGTCCTGATGCTAATGCAAGCCTTTTCAACTACTGTTAATTCGTAATTCTTTGTGCAAACGTTATGGGTGAGCTTTGTATCATTTTCATAGAATTGTTTTTGACGATACTTCTTTACTTTTTCTACTCTCTGGCAAACATATGCTTCTCGCAAGTAAGTTTGCAAGTAAATTCACACACAACATAACCCTATCAAATCCAATCTAGATGCCCGAAAACTACCTATGTGCCACTCAAATTTCACAAGTAAAGGCGCAGGGTATTTCCTTGAATCGACCAGCTCAAACTCACCAAAAGGTTTGACCCAAAAATTTTTTACTGTGCTGCGCGTTACTTGAGAAAACCTTGCGGCATAACGATTATTGCAAAGCACAACGAAACCGCTGAGCTGTTCGCATCATAAAACGAAAAGATGAGCCTCGTACTCGTAAAATTGGATTTCTTTTTGTACGCTCCAACTTTTCTATGTGAAACTGCAAGTGTTCTATTATAATGTTGCCTAGTAAAGAGCGAGGCGCGTTAAAGAAAAAAAAAAGAACTTCAATGGAAGTTGCGAGAAATTGAAGATTCTAGGAGGTTATGCAGCAACAGTTGACCACTGAGGGTGAACACGTAGGAAAGTCCCCAAGTTGTTGACTTCCAGCAATCATCACATTTGCACATTTCTTTGAGATGCAAAGTGTTCATATTCGAGACCGAGTATTTCTACTCTGAAAAGAGAAGGAGAGCAGGTAAGACCTTTGTAATAATCGCTTACCATCTAAATCTCAAATACACTGAAAATTATTTATCCCATACCACTGCGAGCACAATGAGACTTAGGGCCCGGCACGAGGCGGGATGATATCAAGCTGGATTTAGTTTCGATGAGAAGTCAAGGGGATGTCGTAAATATAGTTTACATATACATACACTCTCTCGACAATTGCTACACTACCGACATGCAAAACACGATCTTGCTCGAGGGTAGCGCTCATCCTCAAAAATTCAAATTTTTTCACTAAGTTGTGATTAACAGTCTCGATTACAATGCACACATAGGATATGATAGAAATTTGGAGTATAAACGGATATGGACTAGGAGCACAGTGCAAAGTATTACGCAAAAAATGTGTAGAAGGTAGTGGCAAGCTTTTTACTAAAACTTCCGATTATTACAAAATGATGGCTCATTTGCAACGCACAAACGATATGGCGCGAAATTTAGCGCGTGTACGCGCAGCTGGACGGGAACGTAGTGTGAGAAATTATGAAAAACTCTCATGAATGAAGAGGGTGCTTGACACGTTTCGGGCCGGTGCACATGGTGCAGCAAGCTGCTTTGAAGGTTGCTTTTGACGTTTACAGGAGGTTTTTTTAACCCGAGGTTATCAAGTCAAGACCTAAATTTCTACTTTTTAAATGACGCTGTAGAGTTGTGCCGCCGATATTTTTTTGGGAAAGGTGGGAACAAGTCAAACAACAGTTGCAACAAAGTGCTGCAGCGCGAGCGACGCGTGCACGTCGCAACTTTTCTTTGCTTCGATATCAGAGACAAAAACCGTAGTTTCAATACTGATGTGTACCGTGTGCAACATAGACACTTTTGGATACCGTCAGAAATTAAGCTCGTGCTCCTGACTAAAGACTGAAAGTGCAATTTTTTCGCCACGCGCGGTTTCGCTGTCCAAAACGTGTTAACTTTTTTCCAAGTTTGGTGAGCAATTGCCCATCTAAGATGCCCACCTCAAAAAAAAAAAAAGAACTTCAGCTTACATAAGTTTTTCAAGAAAATTTTTACATAAACCTTTTCTAAACTTGGAGCTTGGTAAGTGTATAGTGATATTTCGTTTCCGAAACTCCTATTCTTCTTTCAGCATACCAACAACGCCAGTCTTTTCAGAGAAGAAAGCGCGCTCCAATCGAACAACTTAAGCAGTTGGGTGGAATCAAGTGAAAAATCGTGAATTTCGATAGTGCGTTTCACTAATGTCCATTTGCTAGCGTCGTACTAGGCCCTGATAAGACTTGCTTTCAAGCTCTAACTCATTATACTAATACATATATACATCTTTATTTGAGTACTGGACTTAAATACTGGGCAATCGATACTATAGTGTTGAAAGGACGAAAAATTACAGACAAATTACGTACGAAAACACACACCTGTCTTACCAGCTCAATGTTGCTTTAGTCACAATGCAGATTACATCGCAAAAAAGTGCAATTCGATCTGGTACGGTGCTGTTCACGTAATGAGATCTCGGCTTGACTGAGTATTCATTAATATTATTTTGTCCGAAATAATGTCGCATCGTGTTTTATCCTGCAATATCGCAGCAGGTTGCGAACGAAAGTAAGTGAGTGGGATATCAACCGATAGATTAGAGCAAGCTCTATAAAATGAAGCTCGAACCTTCGCGCCACGTTTGATTTGCTTGAAGTCTGGAGCCAAATTTCATAAGGCATTAAGATCTAAAAAAACAAAAAAATATCGTATCTCCGTTCAGAAAACCCCTAACTTGCTCACGCAAGGACTTACTATACGAGACACTCGTATGCACATTTTCGCGCTTTTTGCATTGCTGAAAATTGAGGAAACGAAATTCGGCATGTTTTCGCCAAAGCGTTCCTGAGCTTTTCTCACATGGGTGATTCTGTAGTATGAACCTTTAGGAGTGTAATCATGAATTTTCAGCTTAAGGCAAGCGCCAGTTTTCGGGAAAAATCAGTTGTTTGCAAAAAAACCCGAAAAACGCCACATATTCGCACTTTTGACCTATTTCTGTTCGTACTGTAGATATGGAAAAATTCCACAAACTATACGGGTGAATGTCTAGTGTGGAGAGTACACGCCTTGCAAATTGGAGATCCCTAGGACGTCTATGCACGAAGATACGATTTTTTGGGCATCTGAAATTTCTTGTATTTGGGAATCGAACCTTAGATGGAGCAAGACTTCCGCGGAGCTTTGTAGACTGCCTTGTGTGATAGTGCTTGGTTTGCTTTATCAAATGATACCCCATTCGCTGTTTTTTGTGGTCATTCTGTCGCGGTAAGATGCTATGCGACATTATTTTCCGGACAACCTTATATGAAGACTTATTCTTGTACGACGGACTATAATACAATATGTCAAAGTAAAGTAGTCGGTTTGTAGCTCAACTTTTTGATGAGAAAAAAAACAATAAAACACGTTAAAACGAAGCCGAGGTAAGCCGAACCCACTCAAATTAAGTGATTCCGTAGTCGTTGCTCATATTTTTTTCTTGCCAATCATTCGCTGAATTGTGGCACGAAAACTCTTGTTTAGGCACATGTATATTACTGGATTAAAACAAGAGTGAGCATAACCAAGCCATGACGTTAATAAATACACTTGTAGATGTAGGTGAACGTCAATTCGTATGTGCAAGCCCATTGCAATACCCCGGATCACGCTGGCACAGAAGTACGGTATCCAACAAATTAAGAATGCCACTGTAAAGCAGAGGACTGAATAAAAAAAGGAGCTAGATCGAGTATTACCTAAAATAGCCGCAACCACGCGTGTGGCCCGAGACTCGCGCCGAATAGCCAAAGACTCGCGTCGTTTCCGTCGAATTGCTCGTGTGACCTAAAGTTTGAGTGTTTTGTGCATCAAACTTGACCGAGAGTCTATGAGATAATTCATAAGCTTATGAGTCAACAATTCAGCACATTCACTGATGAGAAGAACAAAGGGATGGGATGGGATTACGCTAGCTAACACTCTTTTCAATCTGATTGTGAGTAGCATTATCCACTGAGCATTATCCTATTCATTTAGCTTAACACTTTCACGACTATACCGACCCACCGGTGGGTCGTATAGTCGTGATCTGCAATATCGGACAATACGACCAACCGTATGCTTGTTGATGTCTCTGATTTGCTAGTTTGCTCTGAAAGTGTTTGGGCAAGTTGAGTGAACTTCCATATGCACTTGGAATACTTTTCAAAAGATTAGCACTTAAGCCACAAAGTCCACCAGAAAATACCACGCAAACTCAGTATTGCGTTATACGCTCTGGTCCAAAATGGTGGTCATAAAAAAACGACCTTTTCGTGAATGTGTTAACAGCTCAAAAAGATGAACCATGGGATAAACAGGTACTACGCTTTGCAAATCGACCCATAATCAAAAATAGTTGCAAACAACGAGCATCATATTCGTATGATGTAGAGGGCTCGAGCAGTTAAGCTGGAGGAAAACTACAAAAGTGACCTCCGCTAGTCTACGCAATTCTTACATAAGCGATTCAGTCGGATGTGGTTGTGCTTCAGAGTGGAAAAGTCGCTTTAGTTGCCTGTGTTCGAGTCTCAAATGGGTCACTAGCTGGCAACGTGGACCTGAGCTACGACCAGCGTAGAAGACGCTGCAAGCAGGAGAGTAACACGCACTTCACAGTAACTCTTTACACGTACTAACCGAGAATAGCTGTGCATGAAAGAGGTGTGTTGTGTTTTATCAATAAGGTCAGCTCTAACAATGGTATAGCTGCAAAAAAACATGCCTATTTATTGGAAAAATGCGTTTAACTAAAAACATTGAGATAACAGAGATATGAAAAGTAGTCAGTGTTTGTTTAAGAGATAAGAATAGGATGCATAAAGCTAAATTAAAAATTTTAAAGAGCATTCAGTTAATTTTATCCACACTCCCATACACACTCTTGCAATAAATACTGTCTTAGGTGAGACACTACTAGTATCACACCTACTCTACCGAGTGGCTCAAGAGTAGTCACTTTTCTTCATTATCATCTTACGGGTAGCACGTGAAGCAGGACCACCTTTTCAAAGTATAAGCTAACATAATGGCGCAATAAGAATTATGTTTGCTCTCGAGCTCCAACTCGTAGGGGATGGATCCTTAGTCAAAGTGGCCGTTCCAGTTGTGATACATACGGGCTTGAAGTGCAGTAAACGATGAATACAAGTCTGTCTTTCTTATGCGAAACCCTAGGTGAGAAATTTTGAGCGTTACACGAGTCAAAAAATTCTTTGGTGTGTACCAAGTGATAGGGTAGATGTGGAATATAATTATTCGCACTGTAGATTTGGACAGAGAATATCGAGGTGTCCCGGTGTGAGCCGGGGAGGAACAATACATTCGGAAGCTCCTTATATACAAAACAAGGCGGAGCTGAACCGAGTACAGGGCACGACGTACACAAGTTGGTGCTTGAAAGGAGACGCCGATTGACTACAATCCTGGCGCACAGATACCACTCACTCTTGAATGATTAGATACTTATGAGTGAGTAGCTCACCATTTAGCCTACCGGAGTTCCGTAGGATGTATAGAATATAGAGTTTATCAATGGTTGAAATGGTTGATAATATAGAAATCATCAACAAACTCAACGCCTGTTCAGATTAAGGTGACAGCCTTTCCAACTTGCAAATGGAATGATGGCGAGCACAGGTGCGATAGTGTAAGAATTTTTTCACCCCCTCTTCACCCCCTGAGCCGGGACCAAGGTGACCCCTTCACCAAAAGCCGAGAAAAAAATCAAGAGTGAGGCAAGGCTAAGCAAAAGAGATATTTGTACGTGAATTGTTCATGTATAGGAAAGGAGGAGTATGTTGAAAATAGCGCTTGGTGACGGGTGTGAGTAATGATTTTTGGAGATTTTCGAGTTTTTGACATAAAAAATTCATAACTTTTGTAGATGAACATCTTTCACGGCGAGATTGTCACCATTAGAACCGCCTCTTTCTCCGCTCTCAGAAAATATACAGCATGTTTGAGATTCGTACAGAAAAGTGCCTGTGAAGATGTGCATAGTGAGTTCTGGGAATTTTCGAGTTTTTAGGATAAAAAAAAATCCGTGACTACTGCAGGTCAATAGCTGCAGCAAGGAGATAGTCACCATCGGAACCGCCTCGTCCTCCACTCTCAAAAAATATACAGCATGTCTGAGATCCTTTTAAAAAAGTGCCTGGGTGAAGGGTGTGCTTGGTGATTTTTGAAGATATTCGAATTTTTAACATTAAAAAATTCATAACTTTTGTAGATGAACATCTTGTACGCCGAGATGGTCATCATTGGAACCATCTTTTTCTCCGCTTTCAGAAAATATACACATTGCCTGGCCTCCGTTAGAAAAAGTGCCAGGTGAAGGGTGAGTGAGACTTTTATAATAAGAGTGCTCAAGTAGACGTCTTTTTACAATGGTAAAAAAGCCTGTACTTGAGCACTCCCAATAAAAAAGTCTCATCCACCCTTCACCCGGCACTTTTTCTAACGGAGGCCAGGGAATGTGTATATTTTCTGAAAGAGGAGAAAAAGATGGTTCCAATGATGACCATCTCGGCGTACAAGATGTTCATCTTCGACATTTACAGATTTTTCTATCCTAAAATCTCGTAAATATTCAGAAATCACTACCCGCTCTTCATCAGGCACTTTTTCAAAAAACTTCAAGCAAACTATATATTCTCTAAAAGCGGAAGACAAGGTGGTTTCAAAACTTTTACTTTGCTGACGTTGTTCCTCTACAGAAATAACGAATTTCTTCTTTGAAAAATAAATGCTCAAAAATTGTCTAACTCTTTCCGAAACAAATGTTCTCGCATGCATATCTTCTATGTTAATTCCAAAAAGAGGCAGGGCGATGTAAAAAAGGGGAAATGTAAAAAAAATACAAGGTGCTGGTCAGAATTATAATTGTGTGCTAATCCAGGCATATCGGTTCACATTTCGGAAAAAAGACAAACAGTGGTGGTAAGAAATTGAAGGAATTGGTAATTATGAACTTTGGCTAGGAAAAATGATGGCTTTGTTCCCCCCCCCCGTCGACATTTTATAATTTCTCTACCAAGTGAAACACCTTTCACCCTGGAGGGGCTGCGACCACTGTGACCCCCCTTCACCCTGGAGGAGTTTCTCACCTTATCGCACCTGTGATGGCGAGCACGAAAGGTAGCAATTAGGAAATTTTTTCTTCATAGAGAATAATAGTTACCAGAGTCTATTTGAAACTTACAAGAAACTCATATAAAAAATCTTCTTTAAACTATGAATTCAAACTTTTGCTTCTAAAGCACTCATAATCCATTCAAAGGCTTCCGCAGATAAGAAAGACATTAGGAATCAATCTTTGATATTCAAGAAAGTATGCGCCTCTTCCAGGTAGGCACCTCGGCTAAACTCCTCTTGGTTATAAACCAGTTTTACTACCCGGTAGGAAATGTTATGATTACCGTCCTTCCCAATGTTGCTACCCTCCTTTGCGTGCCTAATCTGTGGCAGGCGTGGGTGTTATGTGACACATGCAATAATATGAAGCTTACACTCCAGCATGTTGGCGGCAGTTAGCCATGCGTGTCGCAGGTCAGAGGCGCAGAGCAGGCGCAGCAGTTGAAGGTGCATGTATGATCCAAAAACAAAAAAGGTTTGTTATTCTTTACTTGCTGGTTCAAACCAGTCCAGTAAATTGAACCAGTGTATTCAACACAAAGATATCTTCCGAAAAATTTGCTTGATCTCATTTCGTTTTGATAGTGGGATTACAGTGCTCTATGCAAGAAGGTAGGGCACGTCCTACAAGGTCACCTCAATGATTGCGCAAGAATCTTTAGCAATCAGCTTAGGTCATGCGTCTTGTTGATGGTTGTAAACAGGGTTGAGCGTGAGGTCGGGCGCGCCCGACGTGGGGGGTCGTATTGGTGGTAAGACTGAGGGGGGGGGGGTCGTAATCAAGAATCGAAACCGCTCAAGACTAAGGAAATACTACAATCGAGTTAGGCGAAAAAGAAAAGCTTTAGACCGATTCAAATTACAACTCCAATAGAGTTGAAGGAATGACTGTCGTGACCAGCATACTGATTGACTCCATTGAAGTTTCAACCAAACTTCAATTCTTTATCCCTTACCTGCAGTGGCGTACCGAGAAGGGGGAGGACACCCCCCCCCCCCGAGAATGGGTCGCAAAATTTTTGAAAGTTACTTATATGGGTTATAAAAATGTGCAAGTGACTTGTTCATTTTTGTAAATAATTAAAATACTTCTGAAAATTTTTAAAAATACAAATTAGCCTTGTAAAAAAATCTTTTTCGGGGCGTGGCTGACGCCACGCCCCCTTTCTCCAGATTTTAGGGGTTAAGGACCCGCAAAAATTTTGAGAAGCGCTCGTAAATTTTTTTCGGAGTGCGTGGCTAACGCTCGCCCCCCCCCCCCCCCCCGAGCGAAAATCCTGGGTACGCCACTGCTTACCTGACACTACTACGGTCACCAAAGAAGTTTGCTGTGTGAATTGAGTATATTTTCCGTAATTAGCATATCAAATCACCTCTACTAGCACTACAGACACACTTTTCCAGCGTTTTCTATCGTCTAAAACCTGAAGTTCAAACATGATTAACTTAGTTTCAAAAGTGAAAGAAGTCAGTTTTTTCATATTCATAACAAATAATGTTCCCTATCAGTGTATACTAGGAGTTAGAATTCATATCGCTTTCAAATCTTATATATATAGCTGAATGTCTGTTTGTATGTCTGTATGTCTGTATGTATGTCTGTCTGTCTGTGTGTACGTATGTTCCGAATAGAAAATTCCATTTCTGAACCGATCCGGACCAAACTTGGCACACATGCACTTCGGGCCCCGGCGGGTGTCATAGGCTACTTTTCGTCATCGATCCATATCGATTTTATCGATTTTTTGCAAAATTTGAGCTACGGGGCTGGGAGTTGGCATAGGGGAGTAATCGAGCATGCTGATTACGAATATAATAACGACAGGGCTGGGCGGAGCCGGGTAAGTCAACTAGTAGTTGATAAGGAAGTACAGCCAATATTCCAAACATCGCGTTTTTCACCTTGAGCGCGTCACTCCGCGGATTACCACAAAACCGAAACAAGTCGAGCTAAGCTCAGACACCTGTTTTAGAATGTTCGAGGTTTGTGCTAGCGAATTACATAAAACTTGGATGAAAAAGCGTCTTCGGAGATAAAGTTATTGGGGTTGGGCGCAACCCCTCAAAAGGTCAGGCCGCCTGAGCTTTTGTAGCCTAGCGCCTGAACCATTTAACTTGTCTTCAAAATTCAAAAACCAGTCCATTCCTTGTATGAGTGTTGAACTTATAACCTCTTCTTGTCTCAGTGAGAATTTGGAGCAAAACACTCCATCTCTGGGGAAATTCTGGCTCGTTCAATAGGGCGATTCACATCAAAATCCGCCGTCAAATTGAGTGCACTTGTAATGTGCAATCACAGAAAAGCGATCATAAAGTCCCCTAAAATTCAAAACTCTGCAGGACAAGCTCGTCTTCTCCAGAGTGTCGCACTCTGAGGTTCCGGAGGTGGAGAGGATTAAGAGAGGTTGTTTAGGGGCATTCCTTGAAAAGAAAGGGCCGTTTCCAAACGACTTGTGCCTGACCTTTTTCTCAACTCTGGTTATAAATCAAGCCAGTTTCAAGCCATTAACTTATGTTTTAAAAAGTAGCTTCCTTGTCCTTCATTTTTGTAAATCAAGTAGCCCTAAAACTTGACATTATCCGAATTTTAGAATCCATTAAAACTATTTATCGGTTTATAGTATATATCTGACCCCTGAAAAGCGTCAGAGACGGCCAGATTTCTGAGCAGTACTCATGAATGCTACTTTGCGTACAAGCCGCTTCAGCACTTTCGCAGGAGGCTCCCCCACCCCTAAAACCTCGCTTTATTCGTTTTTTGCTTGCTTGTCAATTTGTGGTGACTCAATACCCATGCACACTAGTTACCGCAGATGCGACGCAGAATAATTAAGCGTGCGCAGTGCGGAGAAGATTTGACAAGGATTCAAGATAACTTAGAAGTTTCAGGTGACAACAGATTTGGTTTTGGATTTCCAATTTTCCCCCCTAATTTGTGCGACTTGTAAGACTGTCGTTTTCGTATCTTTCGCCAGGTAACAGTTTATGCGAATCGTTTCCATTTGCATTTTTCAAACTTCTTTGCCAAATTTTGCTGAATCCTCGCCAAAATCCTTCAGCAGTGCTCGCGTCCTTTATTATTTTTTGAAATAGTGGCAGCGAGGCTTTTAGTTTCTCAGTGACATCTCTGTCCGACTCGCCGTCACTTCGGTGGAAAGGAACAAGGACAAGGGCTTTGAGGTAGAATCGCAATTGTGTGTGTTCTAAGTAGTTGACTGCCCCAACAGAACACATACAGAATATAAACATAATGTATTGTGAGGGACTAAGTTCGAATCATCCTGTCAGATTCCAAACGCTTTTTGGCTCTCTTTGACTTCCTCACAATCAATCACTTCTTCGCAAAAGTTGACCATAAAAAAATTCCCATTAAGTGAAGACTCTTTTTATTGAGAGAGGAATGATAATGCAGTCCAAAAATTGAAGTCGCTTATGACTTCATTCTACAGTCTGGCAGAGAAGGCCATCCGAACTAGATTTTCGGAGTCTCATGAACAAAGGTGGTATCCACGAAGATTAGAATTCTTTTGGCTATTCATAATCAATTTAACAAGGTGTTAGAATAAAGTTACTGCGCAAACAATCCAAATACCACTTGATCAAAAATTTTGAGAGCAGCGGCTTAAGAAATTCTGTTTGGAGTGAGGAAGAAAGCAAAAAAAAATTTCAAATGAAGGGCATGGAATTACGCCAAACCGTCGTGAAAAAAATTGGGATGCCTTTCAAGTTATCTTACGGTTCTTAACCGCCCGAACTTTCAGTTTTGAATCTGACCCCGCTACCGTATTGGCGGACGCCTTGCATCATCTTTCAAACTACTGCATAACGATCCGTCAGAGATGGGTCAGCAAGTAAGTTCATGTAAGCCGTTGCAAGTGCGCTGAATGACTGGGCACAGGTGCAACGCGTTTTAGGAAATGTACTTAGGCCCGTGTGCATGTACATCCCCGCGGGGAGGGGAGGGGATCTGAGAGGGAAGCGTCATATTTCGTTACTCTGTATACCTTTCTTCTTCCTTCTTTTTTTGTGATATGAAGGTTCTCATACCCTGATACCTACGCATAATGGATGCCAGGTTACTGGCATAATTGATTAGATTTTTACCAGTGTGAGTGATCCCCTGGGGATCCCCAGGGGATCACCTCTCATTTTTGAAGTCATTTATCTCGCTGAAAACGTCATGAAAATGCCGTAAAGTTGTCTGAGGATATACTACGGCACGGCTAAGCATGTTTTTGGCAGAAGAAATAAAATTTGAAGATTATCGATTTTTCGATAATCCCTAGCTCGCAAGCAGCGGTTCGTCGAAAATTACGATATCCTGAGATTTCCCTTACTTCTACTATAAACATGTTTAGCAATACCATATTATACCCTCAGTAGAAATTTAGAAGATTTTCAATGAATTTGTGGGAAGATAAATGACTAGGAAAATGAGAGGTGATCCCCTGGGGATCCCCAGGGGATCACACAAAGTTGTGAAAATTTAATCTTGTACGGCAATATCCTGGCATCCATTATGCGCAGGTATTAGGGTATGAAAACCTTCACATCACAGATAAAGAAGGAAGACGAAATATATACAGAGTAGCGAAATACGACGCTTCCCCTCTCAGATCTCCTCCCCTTCCCGCGGGGATGACGTGCATACGGGCCTTAGTGGAAACTTCAGTTCAGTAGAAATTCGCCGTATTTAATCCAAGCTTGGCAAAAAAACAGATGACTATTCGTCAAATGTTCAGATTTAAAAATAAGAGACTTGAAGTATAATGTGAAGCTTACGTTTTGCTGTTATTGAATCTTACCTGGGTGGCAATCCTTCTCAGTTTACCTCTGCTCACTGACGAATTTTTTTTCTGAGAATTATTACTAGAACCTTCTAGTGTGATGTTCACAGCAGCCTTCCGCCCGCTTCCGCCCACTTCTATAGTGTTGCTTTTTAGCGTGGACCACGCCGATGATCGCCTGTGTAATTCAAAGGTGTATCTTCGTCTATCCCAGGTCCGATCAGCGACCTACCTTGAATCAATTTCGAAAGTAGAGTCTGTGTTATCTGTAAGGCTGCTCCCGTAGCTGTTCATGGATACTCTCCGAAATGTATCGCCGCTGCTTGCCGAAGTATAAGAAGAGTGACTGCTGTTCGATGGAGCTGAGACTGAGCAGAGTGAAGGACATTCGAATGATCTCGGTACCTGAAGTGTTTGATAGGTCAGTAAAATCATCTATTGAATATAGCCGGATTATTTGAACTGATTCACGGTCCAGAAATTTGAAGAACATTACAAAGCTTTACAAATGTTTTTGGCGTTACTTTCGGACCATCATGCTGTTCACATCCCCATGCTATTTGGGCAAAAGGTTCAACTCTAAACTACGGAACGTTTAACAATAAAGGTTGGTAACCAGAAACGCTTCTACCAATCTTTGTGACGGGAAAAGGATAAGTGCTTCGACCTCTTAGCAGGGGATGAATATTGGTGAGCAGCGAGAAGCAGCCAGACAAAAAGAGGACGATTTCGGAATTTAAATGAGCCATTGAAGAAAACGGACCTCACTACTTAGCTAAAGACTACTTAGCCTAATAAACTTGTTATGAGGTCTCGGGTTTATGTCCTGCCAATTTTAATCTTGTTAAAGTCTTGTCACCGTTACTTTGCGCCACTTAGATAAAGTATTGCGCTCTGCTTACGACAGTATTTTTCATCGACCGAATTTAAAAAGGCATATTAATAGACCACCATGATACATGGGCCCCGCGTCCTCGATGAATTAAGGTAGAGTTACGCATATAAGAGTGCCGATATCAAATATCCGTGAGGCATAGGAGCAAAGTACGTGCAGAAACAAGCAGATAGCTTGAGATAGCTTGACAGAGGAAATATGGTCACATCACAAACGTTTACGGATGTGAATGACTGTGATTTTCAAGAGAACTAATTTTGAATCTTGTGGCATTGATTACGAATTGCTGCCTAGTATGATTGAGATGGATACAAATTAAAGTCAAAGATTTACATGTTACATGAAGAAGCACAAACAATCTGTTGGAGGGAGTAAACCTCTTCATTTGAGGTAGAAGCACTACAGCAGATATTGAGCAAGCACCTATCTGAGCTGAAGTAGGAAAGCGGATTAATGTAGAAGAGCACTTGAAGAAGAAGTTGCAGATACAAGGGAAGAACATTGTTTGAGTTATTGCCGGTTAATGTATAAGGAGAGAAGAACACTAGAGTTGTCTGCCAAACGTAACTATAAGAGCAAGTTGAGAGTGTGCTAGCTCAATAGTGAAAGAACTCAATTTTGACACGAAAAATATGAATTGTTGGTAGCCACTAACCTTCAGCTAATCGTTATGTCCAAAATCGATAAAGCAATTAGTGAATCATCGAGATGCGAGAGAATAGTTGATGGACTATGCAAAGCATTGACTGATAACGTTCGAAAGTTCCAAGAGTTAACAGCTCTTGGCACTTTTGAATGTTATAAGGTCGATAATTTTGACAATTTATTCGGAAGTTTAAAAGAGAGAATGGTGCCATCATCCAAGATAAATGCATGCTGACATAGAGTTATTGGCAGGATCGAGCAAGAGTATGGCACACAACCTCCGAATACGAAATTCCCTAATTTTTGCCTCGATACCCTCGTCCCTCTCCCCCCCCCCCCCCTTCCAGCATTGTCGTAGCTTACTGAAGGCTTGCCATGAAGGTTTTACTAACATGAGAATGGTCAGAAATTGAAGTGGCCAATCCAAACAAGATGCATACCATATTATAGATGCGCATAAAACCCTGACTTCCAACCTGTCCTCAGACAATTATTGCGACCACCCGCGGAAGGGCCCGCGCCGACGTTTCATCCATGCCGTGGGTGGTAGAGTAAACGCACGCTAAGCAGCCGAGAGTTACCCGCGGATGCGCCGGTAAGCGCTCGAAAAACGCCCGCGGATGTCCAGACAAGCACCCGACTGATGCGCGATATGCATCCGCGCATGGCCCGATACGCAGTTGCTAAATGCAGTACAATATACATTTATTCCATTTTTGGAACATCTGTTTCCGTTTTCCTCGCCCTCGCACATGGGTCAGGGTATGCGTCAAAATTTGTCTTCCCTCGTAGGGCCCCGGTTCCAACTTCAGGTGACCCTGGAGGAGGATACCTCAGCAGACCGTCTTTGCTACTAGTCACATACCAAGAAACGATAAGCAACGGCGTAAACGTTGAGGGTACCTCTATCAGCGCGGCGTATCTCATGCGAGTAACGTCTTTGCTTACAGCATGTAAGAATTGCGGCGTCCGGCAAGGCCCGCGGCTGGTCAGACTGATTCTGTTAAGCCGTTGCCTGGAAGGGTCGGGGCCTGCCCAAAATGATGAGCACGGCGCCCATTAAGGCCCGCAGCTGCTTTCAATAAGGTCCGTGGCCCGCCCGAGTGTTTTTTCCCGGGCCGCGGGTGTCCCGGTAGAAGAAGTAAGACCCGCGGTTTTTAGTTATCGAAAACATTGAGCCGCGGGTCGCCAAGCAAGTGAATTAAGGGCCGCGGATGGTGAGTATTAAAATTTAACGCTCGCGCGCCACCAAAAGGCACTATTAAGGGCCGCGGATGCCCGTAATAATTGTCTGAGCTCCCTATTTGCCTAGCGCCTAAGTGGGCGAAGTTATGAGCCATTAAATGCCGTTATTTGTTAAGTCTAGCATGCAAAGCGCATATTTGGCAGTACAGACTCATATTCGACTAATTGCTAGGCCAAAACATGCCGTTGGGTTACTTTATATTCCTAAAGCTTGAAGCTGAGCTGGTGTTGTGCTCAACGTACGATTTTCTCGCAATAAAACTGCTTTTAGTTTTGCTCATAATTTCTTCCATAAAGGCGCTAAGCAGATATGAAACACAAATTCGGAATCGTTAAATGTTGCATCGAATGGCGGGCAGCATTTCCTGGATTGGCCGCCTCGACTTCTGACCATTCCCTTGTAAGCATAATTAGTAACATATTCGTAACTGATTTATTTTAGCAAGTTCTGAGGGTTCTCGATATTGGGCCAACCGAGTGAAGTGGTCATTTTCAAACATAGATAGCTGTATTTCAAAACTGAATTAGCAAGCTTTTTTAGAGCACGACTCTCTATTTGCCATACCATGTCCCGCTTCAGATAACCACCAAACTATGGAATTAGGAGCCAGCTAAAATCCATTTGTCCCATTTTCGCTTACAATGGTTGTGTTTCGAGCAACTATTGCTTAAACAAAAGAAGACAAATAAAGCTCTAAGTATTCTGTAGAAACTACGAAATTTTGGCTATTGAAATGTTTATAATTAATTTGCTGAGCTGCTCTTTGGAGGTGAGTTTAATGAGGTGTGGTATAACCCCAAAAAAACTGTGGCTGCCACACGTTTTCAGAGTTGTGCCACACCTCATCAACTTACCTTTAGAGCTTTCAAATATCTCTGATTTTTTGAATCCTTGTTACTGCTAAACCTTTCTCTCTATACAGAAGGAATTTCATTTGAAATCGCTTCTTCAAGAAAAAAGGATTCATCGCTTTTCCTTACCTATGCAAATAAAAAACATGCGAAAATATTGGTTTACAGCAACATGCTAAGTCTACGCTATTACGTGGATCAGGGCAGGCGGAAAGAATACTGCATTTGTAGCCTAAATCTCGTAACTTTAACAAAAGTGAGCCTGATTGGTCTTCTTTATTTAGAAAAATTGAAAGCGAGAACTAAGGCAAATGAGGTTTTTGTTTGACTCTTATTCCTTAGTTTGAAGCCATTTGAACTGGGATCTCCAAAATGAGCGAAGAAGTAGTAGTACCTTGTAATAGATGCTAAAAAAGTATCTAGTTTTTTGGAACAGAGTCAAGCAATTCGAAAAATGATTTTTTACTTGTGTGCAATATTTGGAAACCTCAGAGCTAGCTAAAGCTCTGGCGCACGGGGAGTTATTCGACATGCAAACTACGAAAATAATGCTCTTACACTTTTATTGGGTCATAAAGAAAGTTCCCGGGCACTTTTGAAAGTTTTATTTTCGAACGCATTTTTTCGGCGCTCGGTCGGACTTTCACATCAGGTTTTTTGTACTGTTCAGTAATGGAAAGCCTAAAGATCTCAAAGAGGTTTCTATTTTTTATCGATGCCAAGATCGTATTTGTCTGCACATCAAGAAGAAAAATTTTGAAATTTTCACAATTTTTCTTCCTACGGACATTATTTTGTGCATTTCAAAAAATTTCGTCTACATCCTGGTGATCTGATTGAGATGCCTGTTAACTTCTGACATGCAGCTGCACTCGAGTTTTGCGATTTGCGCTCAGAAATTAGAGGCTGTCGAACTTGCCTCTGACTGCAACTCTTTTCGCAGCTGGCGTCGCTTCTGCCGAGATCTCCACAAATGGATGATGGGTCCAAAAAATGTGTAAGACATTACTTCAACAATGTTCGCAAGAATCAAAGATTTGGTCCGCCCTATGCAGAAAGAGATGGTCGATTTTTTGAACTTTCTGGGAAAATTTTTTCAGGTGGCCCTTCAAAAAAATGAATGGTTCCCATAACAGCCCCAGCAGTCCTTTATATAACTACGGTATTTGAACTCCCCAGCTCTCATCATGAGATAATCCTGCACGAATAGGCCACTTTTTGCGACGACCTTTTTCCTTTTTGCGCATGCTGGTTGACAGTGAAATGCTGGAAAGCCAGCAAAACAAATTTATGTTGTGGACAACATTTTCTTTGCAATGAAGTTTGTAGCTTTGAAAAAGAAACGATCTGCTTGAAGTTACAGCGATTCGGAAAAAAATTTCGCAAGTGTTCGGGAACTTTCTTTACAGCCTAAAAAATGGTGGCCAAAACATCAGTCTGCTAGTATTTCGCATAATGGGCCTATCCGACATTGTCAACTGATTTCACGTTGTCGTCAACATCAGTATCACCATGGTACCCCACTCCCTCCTTGACCCCTCAATACGACCCCCACCCAGGTGTGGCGTTCCACATTTTATGCTTGACCCTGGCTATTGGGTGAAGAACACTTAAAAAAGAGGGATAAGTCCTTGCGTCCGTGATGACCTCAAGAATTTCCGAGACAGCTATACCAAACTCCATTTTCGTCCTGCGAAAACCTTTGTAAAGAAGCGCATCCATCTCCAGTGCTTCACAACTTCGCCTACGCTTCACATTTTCTGCAAGCAAGCTGTATCGACGCCTAGAGAACGAAATATGAGTCTATCCGCGTTAGTGTTAGCTGAACGGAGAGTCTACAAAGCCTTGAACAATTGCCTTTGGTGAACTGGCCCTCTGGATGCCCCCGTTTACCTTTCTGAGACGGTAAACCTTGCCCACTATTTGCATGCTTCGGGCTTAAGTGCGCTGTGTCGCTTCCGAGCGAAGCCCTAACCTTTACTCGAGTAACTTATATTAGACACTGCTGTCTTACCCGGCTCCGCCCGGCCCTGTCAAAACACTGTAATAAAGGTCCCATCCATACCCCTGAACAGTCTTTCCCTGTGCCCACTTCTACACTTCATTTCCCGTCCCCTATGTTGTTTTCGAAATCAGCATCCCCCTCCCTGCCAATTCCCAGCCTTTCAGCTCAAATTTTGGAAAAATCGATTGAAGTAATAGGTAATCCCAAAAATAATATTGTATTCAGAATCTCCATGCTAACTCGCCCCCTGTGCCAACTCCCAGCCCTGTAGCTCAAACTTTGCAAAAAATTGATAAAATCGATAAAATCGAAATCGATCGATGACGAAAAGTAGCCTATGATACCCGCCTCGCCCCGAAGTGTATGTGTGCCAAGTTTGGTCCGTGTCGGCTCAAAAATGGAATTTTTTGTTCGGAACATACGTACATACATATGTACACAAACACACAGACAGACAGACAAACAGACATATAACTTTATATATAAGATGTCTGGACCGAGTGATGTGGCGAGATGTTTTCAGCCGATTTGTCGCATGTCCTCCCTCTGGAAGGAAGCGTGACGCTGGTTTAATGAGCATAATTGTTGCCGCAAAATTAGGCCCAGAATGGGATCGAATTTGTGTCCTTCGGCGCATTACACCAGCTTATGTGAAATCAAAATCATTGAAAGTATGAGAAGTTACCGTTTTCAGAAATAGATATATTTATAAGATATTGCATGTTTTTGATTATACACCTTATATGGTTTTACATATATATATGCGCCTTTGACATTAGTTGAAACTTGAAAAAATATAACTTGGAAGGATTGAATATTTTTTAGAGATATTAGGTTGGCTAGAAAGTTCTTATGTAATTCAAACAAAATTCAACCTGCGCTCCAAGATGGATGTTTAAGCGCAAGATTTCATG